TGTAACCTTGATCTTGATAATATTGCTGATTTCTAGTGGATTGGAGCCGTTAATCACTTCGGTGAATGCTCAACGGGTGACTAGTCCTATTTTTGGTGAACATTCGGGCCTTAGGGCGAAAAATCATTTGTGTTCATTTCTCTATTTTGTATTACTTTGTGTTTTGGGGCTTGAATAATTCCTGTAGTGGTATCAGAACACTTCGATCTCCAATATATTCTTCGATCTGAAACTATTTCTGGCCATTCTTGGTGAACGTGACTCCAAATCTTAAAGGATCTTTACCAGACATTGTCTGGTGCACATTCTTGGTAGATTGGTAAAATAGTTCTAGTTTTCACTAATTTACATTCTTAATCAGAGGACTTTGGTAACGAGTTTCTAACCCTATATTGTTATTTCCTTTCGAACAATATTTTTGGATCTTTTGTTTGAACCCTCCTAGATTTTCCTTTGTCTAGGGTTTCATTTGAAAACCCTATAATCTGAGGGGACTGAGATTAACAGTTCTTCAAGATTATTTGAAATTCGTAATTCTTATCTGTCACTTATTATTGTTGATTGATCAAGTTTGATTAACTTGTTGCCTGCCTATCTGATTATTTCAAATTGTGAACACTTGCGAGATATATATAAATCCTGCGTCATTTATTTTATCTGTGGGTGTCTCATTAACCTTTTGTGCACTGCCTGTACTGCATCATAATTTTACTGCCTATGTTTGCATTCACTATGGGTAATACTAAAGTTGATGTGGAGGTTTGGAATGGGAAAGGAGACTTTACTCTCTGGAGTAGAAAAATGAAGGCTTTTTTATTTCATTTTAAATGTGCTAGGGCTCTTAATGAATCTTGGGGGATGAAGTGGCAGATATTAAAAGAATTGAACAAGTAGAAATTGCATGGAGCACTATTTTTTTGCATTTATGTGACAGTTTCATTAGAGAGGTTGGAGAGACTCAGACTGCAGCTGAACGGAGATACTAAAAGAATTGAACAAGTAGAAACTGCATTGTCACTATGGGTAGTACTAAGGTTGATATGGATGTTTGGAATGGGAAATGAGACTTTACTCTCTGGAGTAGAAAAATGAAAGCTCTATTAATTCATTTTAAATGTGCTAGGGCTCTTAATGAATCTTGGAGGGATAAAGTGGAAGATACTAAAAGAATTGAACAAGTAGAAACTGCATGGAGCACTATCTTTTTGCATTTATATGATAGTGTCATTAGAAAGGTTGGAGAGACTTAGACTGCAGCCGAAATTTGGGCTAAACTTGAATCACTTTAACAAACTAAGTCACTTCCCAATAAATGTTTCTTGTGGAAACAATTTTTTCAGTTCTAGTTTGAACATAACTGTGGTCTTGAAAACAATCTTGATAGACTTACTAAACTTTCTCAAGATCTTACCAATAGTGGTGAAAAACTATCCGATGATCAAAAATTTGTAGCTTTATTAATAGCTCTACCTGAAAAGTATAAAGATTTGAAAAATGCTCTTGAATATGGAAGAGCCACTGTCACTGTTGATACCATTGTTTCATCCTTAAGAAATAAGGAACTTGAATTCAAAAGTGATTTAAAAACCTCTTCAAATGGAGTTGGTTACAATATTAAAGGAAACAATTTTTCAAAAAGAAATAATAATAATTTTTCAAATAAAAGTTTTGGAAAACACAAGAAATTTTCTAAAAACTTTAATAGTGGTAAATCCAAATTCAACAAGAACAATAATGAGGCTAAAGGAAAGAAATGTTACTTTTGTGGAAAATTAAGACATTTTATAAAAGATTGTCACAAAAAATTAAATGAACTAAAAAATGTCAACAATATTGATGGTGGGGGAGCTATAGCCTATGAAGAAGTTGCAGCCACCAATGGGCAAGTCTATGTGACCTGTCAACCTTCAACTAAAACAGATTGAATTCTTGATTCTGGGTGTACTTTTCACATAACACCTTACAAATAATACTTTGCCGATTTAGTTGAAGTTAGTGGAGGATAAGTGGTTATGGGAAATGATTTTTCTTGCAAAATAAAAGGCATTGGGAAAACTATTTTGAAATTGAAAAATGAGAATGTACTCATTTTGAATAAAACTAGATACATTCCAGACCTAAAGAGAAATCTCATATCTTTAGAAACTCTTGATGATGAAGGTTTTAATACCATTATAAATAAAGGTATTCTAACACTTCAAAAGAATTTTGCAAAAGTCATTCAAGTTGAAAAAGCCAATGGGATTTACACTATGCAAGCTTTACCTTTACAAAATAAACCTATTGCTGCTACAGTTTTACAATCTGACCAATCTGAACTTTGGCATAAAAGACTTGGACACATTAGCGATAAAAATTTGCATATTCTTAAAAAATAAGGTCTTTTGGGAAATGAAAGAATAGAAAAATGTTGTTTTTTGAACATTGCTTATTTGGAAAACAAAAGAAATTACCTTTTGGTTCAAGCATTCACAAGTCTAAGTCTATTCTTGATTACTTGCATGCCGATCTGTGGGGACCAGCATCTGTGTGCACATATTTTGATTTTAAGTATTACTTGCTTATTGTTGATGATTTCTCAAAGAAAAGTTGGGTGATACTTTTGAAAAATAAATCTGATACTTTCAAAAATTTTGTGGAATGGAAAACTCTTATTGAAAATCAAGTAAATAAACGTGTTAAAGCACTTAAAACTGATAATGGCCTTGAATTTTGTAATGAAGAGTTTGATAATTTTTGCAAAACAAATGGAATCCTTAGACATAGGACTGTCACCTATACTCCTCAACAGAATGGGCTTGCTGAAAGGATGAATAGGACTTTGTTAGAAAAGGTCAGATGTATGCTGATAAGTTCAGGACTACCAAAACTGTTCTGGGGGGAAGCGGTTAAAACTACTTCATATCTGATAAAGAAATGTCCCACTAAATCCTTAAAATTTGATATCCATGATCATGTCTGGAGTGACAATACTGTGGATTATTCTAAACTGAAAATCTTTGGCAGTGCTGCCTATGTACACCAGAATGCGGGTAAACTGGAGCCTAGGTCTGTTAAGGGTATTTTCTTAGGATATGGTGAAGGTATTAAGTGTTATAGGGTTTGGTTGAAATCTTTAGGAGGTTACAAAGTCACCATCAATAGGAATGTTGTTTTCAATGAGGTTGACATGGCCTGCATTAAAGGAGATGCTCTTGCTACACCTGAAACTGATCAAAATAAAATAATTTTAGAAAAAGAACTATTCCAGACAGATTTAACCTCTAGTAATGATGATCATTTTGAGGTGGAGCCTGATCAGGTATTGACTGATGAAACTGAACCTGCTGACTTATTTCCAAACCAACCTGAAAATCCCTTAGATGATTATCACCTTGCTAGAGATAGAACCAGAAGAAAAGTCAGACCTCTATATAGATACAATGATTCTAATTTTGTTACAACTTT